TCAACTTGATGATCCTTCGAAAAGATTTAATGATCAAGAAATTGATAAAAAATGTCGCTGTCGACAACGTGTTGCATTAGTTCTCTGGATTTTATTTATTTTGTTTTGGTCTTATTGTATCTATGAATATGTTAAAATTAAATTCTATCTTTTACTTGCTTGTTTATTTCATGTTGTATTACAAATATTTGCAAATGGTTTAATCGATTTTATTTGTCAATTAGATAAAAATAATCGTCTTCGTCGTATACATGAAGTAGAAACGTCAAACACTGCATCATCATCGATTAAATAAGATTAAGAATGACTTTGACTCCGAATGCTCACGAAAATATTTCTAGTCGTTTTATTAACACCGTCCTTCTACAATATTTGATCTCTCTTTTGCTCACTTATAACAAAAAAAATTAGAATACACTTTCACAGTTGTAGAACTCTCATTCGTTTTAATGTAATTTTGTACTTGTAATTTTTAATTCTTTTTGAAAACTATAAATCAAACTTAGTATAATCAAGTAATGGACTTGCAATTTCTTTTTTGTATATCCATTTTTTATTAAATATGTATTTTTTTTTTTTTGTTATGCACAAAATGATTTTTCTTTTTTTATTCTTTTTCTAGATCAAAATCGTTGAAATTGAAGATGCAGATCTTCGTACGAACGCTCGATGATCGTACATTAACATTCACTGTTGAATCCGATGATACTGTAGATGATATCAAAGAACTTATTGAACAACGAGAAGGTTTGTTACTGTTTTTCATGTGTTTTTTTTGTCAGTTGTTTTTATTTTCTTGTGTTTATCTTTTTTTTAGGTATTCCAGTTGATGAACAACGTTTAACATTAGGTGGCAAACAATTAGATGATGAATTAACATTGGAAGAATGTAAAGTTGAAGATGAATCAACAATATACGTTCTATTGGATCTTGAAGGTGGTGGTAAAAAACGAAAAAAGAAAACATACAGTACACCAAAAAAAAATAAACATAAACGAAAGAAGGTTAAATTGGCTGTATTAAAATACTATAAAGTAAGTTATTAGTAACTAGATATTGGTTATTAGTAACTAGATATTGGTTTTTTTTTTTATAACTTTTACTTGGTATCTAACATAAAATATTAAGAGAATATTTTGTTTTATATTTAGGTTGAAGATACAGGTAAAATTCGTCGATTACGTCGTGAATGTCCATCAAAACAATGTGGTGCTGGTGTATTTATGGCTACCCATCATGATCGTAATTATTGTGGAAAATGTTGTTTAACATACATGTTTAAAAAACCAGAAGAGGAAGAATAAATGNTTTCCTTAATCTATCCTAATGTAACCGGTGAATCCAAAGAAAAAAATCCAAAGATAAATTATGTAAAATATTACCAATGAACCAGACACAAATGCAAGAATTTTTTTTTGTTTTTGATTAATTTTATTGAAATCATCAACGTATATTTGATGTCTTAGTATTTGTTAAAATTTGTAAAATCGTCTATTTTTAAACAGCTAAAACAACAACAACAAAAGAAAAAAAAAGACATCAATTTCGTTTCAAAATAAAGTCTGGTAACAAATTGATTTCGAAATGCAAGAATTTTAAATGTTTAAGATTACAGTACTCTAAACGCATTTGAACTGCTTGATTCTTGTTTTTAGCAGCTAAAATTAGTTTTATTTGACTATATATTAGAGAGAGTACAATTTAGAGTATTACAACTTATAAATTAAATACCTTTTGAAATCTATACAAAATTCACAATAAAGCACAAATACGACTGGGCGGTATTATTTGAGAACGTGAAGTACATTCATTCTCTTTTTCATTGCTATAACCCGGCATTAATGTTTCTATTCTATAAGTTTGTTCATATAACGTGTTTAGTGATGATTCGTTGAATGAAGTCTCTGCTATAAGTTTTAATGACTTATCAACATGTATTTTGTCTGAAACGGTACTCTCTGTACTTGTAATAGTTGATGTAAAATTTGTTACTGTTGTTGTTGCATCTGATGAATTTTCGGTATTAACATCATCCCTTTTTAATGGTATTCTAGTGTTTTTGTTAGATTGCTGTTGTTGCTGTATCGTATTGAAAGGTTGAATACTATTTCGTTGTAAATGTCTCTTTTTTATTGTGGACATAGGTGTTAATATAATTTCACGTTTTCTTCGAATAATAAACGAGTTACTGACAGATATCGGTCGTTTATTATTATTATTATTATTATTGTTAGTATTATTATTATTGTTAGTATTATTATTATTATTATTATTATTCAATACCACTCGTGAACGATTTGGAAGTTTGACAGATTGTTTTACTTTAGAATTTGTTTCTAAACGTTCAAGTTCGATATCATCATCATGTTTTAATGGTTCATTGGTAATATTTGCTAAATTTCGAAGTGAATCTTTTTGAATTGAGGATTCATTTTGATTGTCATTTACTCGTGCCACTGTTATTGTAGCCGCTGTTTTAACACGTGCACGACTTAAATGTGTATTAGTGGTGTCTCTCATGGTATAACGTGATACAACTGATGAACGTTGAATATAACTTTGACTTTCATCTCGACTAGTTGATATATTATCATCATCTTCATTATAAATGAGTTGATAATTTTTTAAACATTCAATTGGTAATAATGATTTTCCATTTTTGTTTTTTTGAAAACATTCCCATACAATATCTAAAATAATCGAACATTCTGATTTAGATCTGTACTTAGAGTTATGCAGATTCGTACATTTTGCCAACCTGTACTCTAATCTATGAAACTCAACCGAACGTATGATTCTTTTTCCTTAATCTATCCTAATGTAACCGGTGAATCCAAAGAAAAAAATCCAAAGATAAATTATGTAAAAATCTGGAAACTGGTAAAAACTTAGAGATCAGTGAGAATTTTAAAAATTTTCTATTCTTTTAACCGCTGATTTTGCTGTTGTCAGATATTCCCCTGCTTAAAACGATTGTAAAATTTAATTTTTTAAATGTTCTAGTTTTTTCAATAGCTCATTCAAATTAGAGAACAATTGGGACATCAACAAAGGAGATGAGTGAACACAACGAGAAAAATAAGAAATGTGTCATCGTGTGTTTACCCATGGTTAAATACATAAAACGACATTTTTATTGTTTTTTCGTAACATCTAACCTTGATGCGTGGCTAAGAATTGTTTTATTTTTGTTTAGGTTGTCGATTACTTAATTTGTAACCTAATCTACAAAAATTTCCTAATCTATTAAATCCCCGATCTAGTCAAAACCTAGTGTATTTGCACTCTTTCTATCCACACTTTAAAAAAGTACTTTGTACTCACCTAATGTTTCTTCAAAAAGTGGTTTTGTTGTTGTATTCACTCGTGTATTGCCCCATCTAAAACAAAACATTTTTAGTTTTTAGAGTTTTTTATTTTATCTTTCCTAATTTTACCCAACGCCCGGATTATCATTAACTTCCAGTAACCAAATGCGAAAATTTTCATCCAAAAGAAAATCACAACCGTAGATGCCGAAAAAGCCCGGTGTACACGTTAATTTATCTTTACTTGCACGAATAACATGACGAATAATCGATTGCATTCTTGTCTTGAACAATGAATAAAAGCGATATGTATAAAAAGTATGACCATTGTAGTGTTACTTGTGATACCTGCATAACTTTCATTACCCAATCTTCACACATGTTAGGATTAAATGGTCGAAAACATTGATTGAAATAATGATTTAATTGTGTCATCGTCATTCCGGTATTTTCTTGTGAAAATGCATATCGATAATGATTTTCTTGAACCGACTAAAATAGTAAACGATAAATGAAACGATTTTGTTTTTTTACTTATAAAATAGTCTAATCTAATAACGTTCTCATGAACATTAGAAAAAAATGATATAGAAGTCTTGTTATATTTAACAATTAGTTATTCATAACGCACCAAATTTGTTAAATGTGTTGCACGATCAAAATCAAATTCTCGATATAAATTGAGCGATAATCGTACGACAGACGCATTATGATTATAAAATACCAATAACGGTTTCGTCCATGCGATAAGAAAATGAACTCGAATGTCGAATTTTCGACCTTTGATTAACAGCGGACGAGCAATGTACCTAAAGAAAAGGAATTTAGCTGCCGTAATCAGGACCCATAATCTTATAAACATGTTCAACATATAAGTTACGTTTGTAACACAGAACATCAGTTAAATAACACAATCGTTCAGAACTTTAAATTTAATACGATCTTATTTGTTCTGCAGTAGATACAAACACACTATCACTGCTTGATGCTAGATTTTGATATAAAATTGTACAAACACATACACACACACATTTTATATATATTGTCAGTGTTTAAGGGAGGAACACGATTGTATGAAAAAGTTAGTCTATCAATGATAGATATACTTGCTCCTGCATAAGGTAACCTGGAACTTTTGGTTGATATTGCAGACGATTTCCGGTGCCCACTTTCAATTTGAATATTGTATTGAGATCAGAATTCACTGTAATCACGTAAATTCCACGACCTTTAAATACATAGTACTCATTATTATTTATTATAATATGACAATTCATTTTCGTACCAGCATAACTGTATCGTGGCTTGCATATCCAGGTTCGATTATGTTCTAAAAATAAATAAGAGAATATACACATAAACGTAAGCCTCTTACGTAGAAATTTCGACGTGTTTATAGATATCCTATTTATTAAGTACATCTCAAATTTATTACAAAATATAAAAAATTAAATCTTTAATGTCGTTTATATGATAATTTTTCCCATACTAAAAACTATGTAAACACTCGGTTATAATTAATTTAAAAGAAGTAAGAAAGATTAGGAAAAAAATTAACTTTCTCTTGTGGAGAGAATCACAGAATAAATTTTCTTGAAGTTTGAGGCATGTTAAACATTAACCAAGAAGAAAAAGAAAAACCAAATTTTTATTAAGCTACGTACTTTTATACACTCGAAGAAATTCATTAACTTCGTTTTCATTATCCAAAACAAACGTCATAGGTAAAAAATTATGAATATGTGTTTCACTCGCTTTTTGTCTTCGATCAATGATGTATTCTCGAATTGTATACCATAGATTGACTTTATCGGCAAAATAGATTTGGCCAGGAATATTATTTACTAGTTGTTGGCCTAAATGAAGAAAGATAGACAACAAAAGTGAAACGATAGATAAATGCTCTAATGATTTTCTGAGCTAAAACATATTGATGCTCAAAATAATTCGAGATTTTAATTTGATGCTTACGAGGGAATCATCCGAGGTTATAAATCGATTTTTCGGATTGGGACTATTTTTGCTAGAAAGGAGCTAACGAGCAGTGAAATACCCCAACATGGTTCATCCCCTTAGTGGTTTATTGCTGAGATACATTTCACCAGA